TCTATTTATGTAATCACCTGCTTACAAAGAACAGTCCATATTCAGCATTCTGTGGTAGCTCAAATTCACTTAAAGCATTTGCATTGGCCTACGTTTAGCACCTTATATAGGTCATAGGAGACAAATTATTTTTTCTATAAAGAATTATGGAGTAGACATGGATGAAGAAACAAAACACAGCCTGACTTCTGTTGGCTTTCAATGTAGTCTAAGGAACAAAGTTAAGATACTGGGACACCAAGTCCTAAGAAACCCTTTAGTGAAATAATAACTTTCAAGATTAGGCCTAGCAACTTCCATTATTCTTATTCTTGAATGTATTGAAATGATAAGTTAACATTATCAGCCAAATATTTTTGCAGTGAGAAAAGTTTTCTCAAATAAACAAAAAGAACTCATGTGCTGAGTAGAAGTGATAAACAGTGAAATGTGCTTCTTTTACATTACAATGATAACAAGAAAACCCAAGATAATAAAGAAAATATTATTTAAAAATTGTCAGAAACTTACTTCTTTTACCCTGGGGTCTAAAAATGGTACCTACCAACATTCAGAGAAATTTTCTGATAAAGTCTAAATTTCTCTCTTTCTTCCATTTCCTTTGCACCCAATGGTGGGTTGAATCAAGAATTTCCCCCTTTGTTTGTCAACATAATTTGAATATTGAAGCAAAATTATGAAATATAATCAGAACACATTACCATGGCCTGAACCAAAAAGCCAACCCAACTGCCACAGTCGATTGAGACTCATGACGACCCTATGTGTGCCAGAGTAGAACTGCGCTCCAAAGGGTTTTTAGTGGCTGCAACTCTTCTCAAGTAGATCACAAGGCCTTTCTTTGAAGACATCTACAGGTGGATTCAAACAACCGACCTTTTGGTTAGCAGTCAAGCATGTTTGCGGCTTGTGCCATCCAGGGAGGACCCTACCACAGCCTAAAAACCAAACTCACTGCCATCGAGTAGATTCTGACTCACACCAACCCCCACTGGGTTTCCAAGAGGGTAAATCTTTATGGAAGTAGACTGTGCAGTCTACCTTCTGCGGAGTGGCTGCAGGGTTTGAACTGCCAACCTTCTGGTTAGTAGTCAAATGTCTTAGGCACTGCACCACCAGAGCTCCTTATAAGGCCCTAAATGGTTCAGCCCCTCTGACAATTGTCTCTCAAGATCACCACGTGCCAAACAAGTTTCTCATCTTAGGGCCTTTAACCTGAAATGCACTGAAACGCACTTCCTTGAGATTTTAAAAAATACTTCATGCTGGAAGAATGAATCCACTTGTGATTGGACTTAAATTTCATCAAGCAGTTTGGCATCTTGGCGGGTGGATTCTAGACCAAGGAATCATACTCACTCCCTTTCCCTGAGGGAATTCCTGCAGTGAGGTTACTATTAAGTTCTGAGGAGCAGGGCTTCAAAAAAGCAGACTCACTTACTAGCCCTGGAATTGTAGGGTATGTCATCACAGAGTGTTTCCCAGGTGCTATCTCTATGGAAGTAGATCACCCAATCCTCTTTCCGACCCAAAGTCTAGAGTGCAAAGACTTAAAGACCAGGGCAAAGGGGCTGCACTAGCCCCTGGGTGCAAATCCAAGGGGCCTTCAGACAAGTCCAGCTGGCGAATCGCTGGCCGATCCTGTTGACTAGGCCAGCTGCAGAATTGCACTCCAGTCCCAGTCCACTACAAAGCCAGTGGGCGAATTGAATCACCCCTTCACGCCTCCCCATCCCATCCTCAACTAGGCAGGCTGGCAAATCACAACACACGAATTACCAATCAATGAGCCTAGCGTTGAGGTAGGTGCAAACTGAAAGAGATTTCCCCCTGGATGCCCAATCGCTGTTACTCTCACTATGCAACTAGTAGAATAATGTAGAGATCTGAAGTGAAAGAATCCAAGACATAGTTATTTCTAGATATCTGGCGCTTCAAAACAAGCACAAATCATGACTCAGGAACAATTAAAAAAGAAACTAAAGCTAAGGCAATCATTAAATAGAAATTAATTTTGGATTATGTGTGTGACTTTGAAGAATGGTCGCTGAGGTCTGGCAGTGCCTCCTACAGGCTGTCTGAGAAGACCAAGAGCAGCATGGCGGTGGCTGAAAGAGCAGTTGTCCTCTGTCCCACACAGACCAGCAAGAGCTCCGGTGGGCTGCGTCCCTGTCGCCCAAGGCACATGCTGTGCACACCTCACCTGTGCACAACCGCAGGCTGAAGAGCCCTGGCTCGCTGCCTCGCAGGCCTGCAGCACATGGTAGGAGTTTTGTCCTGAGCCTGCTTCCACTGACACCACCTTGGTGACCAGGTAGTTGGGCTGCGGCCGTGAGGTGCCGTGTCAAAGAGCATTGAGCCCATGGGTTCCAGATCCCAGTACAGCACCCTGGGCGCATTGCCGTTGCAGTTGCCCACCAGCACGCACAGCCTCACATTGGCGCCAACCGCGGGCCAGCGAGGATCACACACCTAAAGCGTCAGCACCAAGGCGCGCTGTGCGAACACCACCCAGCTCCACGTGCTCACAGACACGTAGGACGACAGCACCCACGGCTGGAGGTTGCTGACTACGATATAGGAGTAGCAGACTCTACAATTCGGACCTAATTTGGGATCCGAGGCGCTTACTTGTGCGCTGGAGGCACTGGGTGGGTTGTTCTCAGACACGTGGACCATATGGGCGGCCTGATGGAAAATCAGTGTGGTGGAGTTGACATCGCCTACTGCTGGGTGTAGTTTGTGCTGGAGGAGAGAGAGCGGCTTGCCCTTGTTCGGTGGCTGTGATAGTGATAATGGAATCTGTTCCGGTCTGTTACAAGCTTGTAGTAATTATTGGCGAAAGATTCGATTCTCAAATGTAGTTTCTTGTATTAGCCATGTGACTTCGTTTTCTCTGGCATCAGGATCCTGTGTTTTAAAAAGAGCAAATGCTGTTGGATGTCAGAATCTTCAGGAATCGTTGTGGAAATAGAAGTAAAAATCATCTCTGGGACATTGTCATTAATTATCATCTAGAATTTTGATCTCAACGGTACACTGGGCAACCAGTGCCCACCTCCTCTTGCTTCCAAAACGATGGAATATCTTTTTTTTTAAATATATTTTATCGAAATATAATTTATGTACAGTGAAATACACAAAACTAAAGTGACATGGGTTAATGCTTTTTTTTTTTCAGTGTTCCTTCCCCTCCCCTTCCACCCCTGGTAATCAACAAAGAAAGTATTCTTCCATATATAAACCCTTCTTTGACTTTTTACAGTAATGAACTAATAGTGTATTTGTCCTTCTGTGATTGACTTATTTCACTCAGCATAATGTCCTCCAAGTTCATCCATATTATGCGGTGTTTTGCAGACTCTACGTTATTCTTTAGAGTTGCATAGTATTCCATTGTGTATTCCATTGTGTGTGTGTATCATAGTTTGGTTATCCACTCGAGTCTGTTGATGGACACCTAGGTTGTTTTCATCCTTTTGCTATTGTAAATAGTACTCTGATGAACATGGGTGTGCATTTATCTGTTGTTGTCCTGGTTCTCACTTCTTTAGGATATATACCTAGTGATGGGATTGCTGGGTCAAATGGTATTTCTAATTCCAGCTTTTTAAGGAATTACCATACTGCTTTCCACAGTAGTTGTGTCACTTTACAGTCCCACTAGCAGTGCATGAGAGTTCCAATCTCTCCACATCCTCACCAGCATTTGTTATTTTCTGTCTTGTTGAACTTTGCTACTAGCACTGGGGTGAGATGGTATCTCGTTTTGATTTGAATCTTTCTGATGGCTAATGACTGTGAGTATTTCTTCATGTATTTGCTGGCCACCTGACTATCCTCTTTGGTGAAGTGTCTGTTCATGTCTTCTGCCCATTTTTTAACTGGATTGTTAATCTTTTTTCGTTGTTGAGGTGTTGGAGTTTTCTATAAATTTTAGAGATAAGTCCCTTGTCAGATATGTTGTTGCCAAATATTTTTTCCCAATCTGTATGTTCTGTTTCTACTCTTTTGGAGAAATCTTTTGAAGCACATAAAAATTTAGTTTTAGAAGGTCCCATTCATCTAGTTTATCTTCAGGTGTTTGTGCATTTTGGATTATGCTTGACAGTTTATTTATGCTATAAACTAGGCTCCTACATTTGCCCCTGTTTTTTCCTTGAGGAACTTTATAACTTTAGGTTTCACATTTAAGTCTTTGATCCATCTGGAGTTAGCTTTTGTGTATGGTGTGAGGTACGGATCTTGTTTCATTTCTCTGCAAATGGATATCCAGTTTTATGAGCACCATTTGTTAAAGAGAGATGGAATATCTTTTTATCTCTTTGAAATGTACTTTGTGTTTTCTTTTCTCCACTATTGTGATCAAGGCCAAACTGGGTTGGAGTACGCAGGGCTGAGAAGATAAACATGAACTTGTGGATCAGTGGCACTCACCTGCACCACAGCAGTGATTGTGGGGTAAGTTTTCCAGCAGGCTGACCCTGTACAAGTCCTGGTTAAACATGGGGTAGGGAGGATGTTATCACTGGCGTCTACTACCAGGATCATGATGTGAGCAGTGCTGCAGCTGGCTTCCTGGCAGGTCCTTGCCATCCAAAGTTGTCAGGACTAAGCGATGGGAGATTTGCTTTTCCCAATCTAGCAGCTTCTTTAACACAAGTTCAATGTATTTCTTTCCACTATTGATCTCTTATTTTGAAGGCAAATACAGACTTGGTGCTAACGTGGTAATTTGGCAAGGAATTGGTTCCAACATCTGGATCCTGCATAGGTTGTATTGTAAATCTTGCTCCAGGCTGGGTCAACTCAAAAACATTTAATTTAAAAACATTCCTGCTGAAGGGGGAGGGGGAATGATCATTCCCATTCTGAATCCCCATGTTAATGTGAAAAACATTTAAAGGATTTTTCAGCTATTGTTTCCAAATGTATGGTGTCACTATTTTGGGGCCTATCTGTTCCCTGTCCATTCTACCACTGACAAAGAAATCTCAACTTTACTCACACAGGTCCAAGTACTCCTTTTCAGCATTAACCTGCATCTTCCAAGGGCATAAGTCCTGGACACTGAGCTCGAGATCCTTGATGAAGTTTCCCACCACAAAGTCCTTGGCTAGTTCCTCAGAGATTGAATAGAGGTTGGCAAGGATCAGCAGGGTCCCACTTGGCCTGTCTGTCCAATGCTGTTCTCCATCACATCCCCATCAGTGTTACTGCTGCTCCAATCCAGACTTTTCAAACAATCTCTGGGTTTTAGGGTCTCTAGCCAAGAAACAATCAACAACAATGGAAGCAGAAGTCAAGACATCAGACAACATACTGCAGTGGGAAAATCTGCTGCAAAAGACCTCTTTAGAGTGCTGAAGAGCAAAGATGTCTCTTTGAAGATGAAGGTGTGCCCGACCCAAGCCATGGTGTTTTCAATCTCCTCATATAAGAAGAGTCGATGCCTTTGAGTTGTAGTGTTGGCAAAGAATACTGAAAGTACCATGGACTGACAAACTAACAGATCTGTCCTAGAAGAAGTGCAGCCAGAGTGCTCCTTGGAAGCAAGAGTAGTCAGACTTCATCTGACCTACTTTGGTCATGTCAGAAAAGACCATTCCCTGGAGAAGGATATCATGCTTGATAAAGTGGAGGGTCAACAAAAAAGGGGAAGGCCATCAATGAGATGGGTTGACACTATGGCTGCAATGATGGGCTCAGGTATAGCAAGTATTATAAGGCTGGCACAGGACTGGGTAGTGTTTCATTTTGTTGTACCTGGGGTCACTATGAGTCAAAGTTAATTGCTAATTAACTGGCAAAGTAATTGTCAATGAATTAATCTATTCTGGGTAGAGATTTGTAGAAGTAGGAGTCACAATAGGACCATTCTGGGTCTGATTTAGGCTTTGTACTCTGTCCAATTAGGAAAGCCACCAAGCCAGAACCATAACGGGATCTCCTCTCTGTTTCCAAATTGGCAGATCATGATGTTTCGAGTCCCTACTCCAGGACTGCAGCCTGAAGAAATCAGAGGGCTACAGCAGTACAAGAGAGTTCAGATTAGTTTGCAAGTTGAAATGAGTAGTACAAATCTTAAAGTACAATCAAAGGACTGTGGGTTATTTCAAATTATGGCTAACATTTCAAAGAATGTGGATTCCAGAGCACTTATTTTGCTTATGCAGACCCTATATATAGGCCACGAGGCAATTGTTTGAACAGAACAAGGGGATACTGTGTGGTTTAAAATCAGAAAAGGTGTGCGTCCGAGTTCTGTCCTTTCACCATACTTATTCAATCTGTATGCTGAGCAAATAATCCAAAGAAGAACCTAGCATCAGGATTGGAGGAAGACTCATTAACAGCCTGCAATATGCACATTACAAAACTTGGTTACTGAAAGCAAAAAGGAATTCAAGCACTTACTGATGAAGATCAAAGACTACAGCCTTCAGTATGAATTACACTTCAACATAGACAAACAAAACCCAAGGCCAACTAGTTGATTCCAACTCACAGCAACCCCCATAGGGTTGCCAAGGCTGTAAATCTCTATGGAACTAAATTGCCTCATCTTCCTCCCATGGAGCAGCTGGCAGGTTTGAACCACCATCTCTCTGGTTAGCAGCCAAAATGCTTTACCAACTGTGCCACCAGAGTTCCTTACACCTCATGTGAAGAAAACAAAACTTCTCACAAGTGGACCAATAAGCAACATCATGATAAATGGAAAGAAGACTGAAGTTGTCACAGATTTCATTTTCCTTGGATCCATTACCAATGCCCATGGAAGCAGCAGTCAAGAAATCAAATAATGTATATTGCATTGAGCAAGTCTGCCTGAAGACCTTTTTAAAGTTTTAAAAAGCAAAGATGTCACCTTGAGAATTAAGATGCACCTGACCCAAGCCATAATGGTTTCAATTACCTCATATGCATGTGAATATGCATGACATGAATAAAGAAGACTGAAGACGAATTGATGCCTTTGAATTATGATGTTGGTGAAGAATATTAAATATACCATGGACTGCCAGGACAATGAACAGATTTGTCTCGGAGGGAGTACAGACAGAATGCTCCTTAGAAACGAGGATGGTGAGACTTCATCTTGCGCACTTTGGACATGTTATCAGGAGGGACCAGTCCCCGGAGAAGCACATCATGCTCTGTAAAGTAGCGGGTCAGTGGAAAAGAGGGAGACCCTCAATGAGATGGATTGACACAGTGGTTGCAGCAGTGAGCTCAAACATAGCAATGATTGTGAGGCTGGCACAGGACAGGACAGGGTTTTGCTCTGTCATCCACAGGGTTGCTATGAGTCAGAACTGACTTGACAGCACCTAACAACAAAAGTGCAATCTTATTCATGCAACTAATTTTTCCTAGGAATTTATACTCTCAATGTCCCCAGCACTTGAAGTCAAAGTGATTACTTCTTATTATTTTATCTTGGCTTTTAAGAGCATTTTTAGGCTAAAAGTCAATTATTCTTTTTCTTTTCTGATGGGAAGCCTTTCCTTTTTTCACGTCATAGTGTCTTCAGGATGAATCACTGGATTAATCTTCAGCTGCTAATAAACAGAATGCTTCTAAGAGGTCTCACAATCAATACGGAAACATTACTGACTGAGGCATGTATCTTTAAAATTTGACAAAGTCCTGATCCTTAGCTTTGTGTAGATGAAAGTTGGCTCTTATTAGAAATTTGATATATACAGTAAGCACATGTAAAATAATTGGTTTTCCACTATGATTCCTTTTTTCAAGAGACCACTTTCTAATCATTGAACTCAACTGTTTTATTGGGTAAACAGAAGATGTAAAAACCTTCCAACTATGAAATGTTTCAGAGACTTAAAGATGAATTCAGGAATTATACATGTCTTCAATGATATTACACACAGTATGTATGAGTTCTCTAAGAGAAACTGCAGAGGTACCAATTTTTGTATATATCCATTATTTTATTTGACTCTATAATCCCATGAAAAGTTCTTCACATTTTGATGAACCAGAGCTCTTCCTATAAGGTCTCCAGAAACTTCATCCTCTATAAAAAGTTTTGTTTTTCAATTACCTTTGCCAGAGGCTACTTTTGCCTTAGATATTTTAAGAATGTATCATAAACAGTGTGCTGTTATTGGTAACTTTATTTTTAATTACATACGATTTCCTAAAAATTAACTTGAAGTGTGACATTACAGATTATTATCTGTTTCCTAAGATACAGATCAATTAATTGGATCAACGTCCCTTCACATTATGGGTTTGCTTTTTGAACCTGATATTTTGAGGAAGAAACAAATTTTCCACCTGAAGTATTCCATTTCTGATCACAACTATACTCTTTATATATCACTGACAAAACAGTGCACTCCTTTATCACTATCCTTCTAATTCCTTTTAAAATGGTTTATAAATCAAAATGTTGTTGCTTCAAGTAGCATGATATCTTTTCTAGAATAAAAGTGGGGGAACAGTGTCTTCTGACAGATTAGATTCCAGTTGTCGGTGCCACAAAATAGTGGGTATGGGCTTAGCTTATTCTCTTTTAAGTTGTAGCTGAATATTTTGATTAATTGATTAAACAGAGTGAATACACCCACGACTCATAGGAAGACAAGCAAAATCCTTGATACTGATGACACAATTCCATTACTGGAACTTGAAGAAATGCAAACATCCAAACATCTTGCCCAGTTAATCTCAAAACAACAGCAACAAAAAAAGACACTTTACCAACAAATATTCTAAAACTAAGCTTGTTATTTTGCACAGTCACCAGTGAAAACTTTCATATTACCAAAACAAAATAACTCCAACTTTCAGATTTTGGTTGTTCGTTATCCAGTCAAATTATCCTAGCGATCACTTTGGGGGTCAACTGCTCCTTTAAAACAAGAAGTTTACTAGGGCCCTTGTTTAGATTACTTTACGGTTCAGATAGAGAAAAGCTAACACTCACAAAATTATCTCATCCAAATCAATGTTTCCTCCATCTTTTAGGGTCTGTAACTGTGGCTTCTCAACCTGTGATTTGTCTCAATATGTCTGGGCACCTATGATTTTTAAACTATCTCTTGCAAAAATTTTAAAACACACTTTTGTTTCTATCCTCAGTTCATCCCAGTGTACTCCTGGAGAAGCACATAAATAATTAGTAATTTTACCAAGAGAGTGTCAAGTGTGCTGATATTGGAAGCATGAATCCTTTTTCTATCAACAATAAAAATGGCCACTGTTAATTGGTAAGTACCTAGTTTGAAACACATGGCTTATATATTATCCCTAGTCCTCTGGTAGCATAGTGCCTAAGGCACTTGACTGCTAACCAGAAGGCTGGCGGTTCAAACCCACCAGCCACTCCTCAGAAGGAAGGTTGGGCAATCCTACTTCTGTAGTGATAACTGCCTCGGAAACCCAAGGAGGGGTCGCTATGAGTCAGGGCCGACTCGACGGCAAATAACAACAACAACAGTCCTCACCACAACTTTTAAAATTAGGAATTAGTATCTACATTTTGATAAAGCTCAAAGAGATTAAATAACTTGTCAAAGGTCACACAGGAAGGTACCTAATTGCAAACCCAATGTTCTTTCTATCATACTACATCTGAAAACTTAGAATACTAGTACCAAGCAATCCCAAGATCGCATAAATTGTTCATTCATTTATTCATTAACTATTTAATGAGGCCTATTCAGCTCAAACTCTTAAGCAGAGTTGAAATCACTGATAGGTGAGATACAGTCTAAGGGTCCTGTCTGTTCACCGTCCCAGCTCTCAATGATTTGTCCCTGCATCAAGTTAGGTGAAGAGATCAGCATTAGACCATGTTAGCTTAGCTTCCCACATAACTTCTGTTTTCATGTATATCTTTATTTTTTAATTGACCATCATGAGAACTGGCCACGTGGTAAACATTTTGATGTTGTTGTTATTAGGTGCCATTGAGTCAGCTCCAACTCACAGCAACCCTGTGTACAAGAAAATAAAACACTGCCTGGTCCTGTGTGATCCTCATAATCCTTGCTGTGCTTGAGCCTATCTCTACAGCCACTATGTCAGTCAATCTCATGGAGGGTCTTCCCCTTTTTTGCTGGCCCTCTACTTTACAATCATGATTTCCTTCTCCAGGGACTGGTCCCTTCTGAGAACATGACCAAAGTAAGCGAAACAAGGTCTGGCCATTCCCACTTCTAAGGAGCATTCTGGCTGTACTTCTTTCAAGACAGATTTGTTCATTCTTCTGGCAGTTCCTGGTTTTACAGTATTCTTCCTCAACACCACAATTAAAAGGCATCAACTCTTCTTCATTTTTCCTTATTCAGTTTCCAGCTTTTACATGCATTTGAGGTGATTGAAAATACTATGGCTTGGATCAGGCACACCTTAGTGTGATATCTTTGCTCCTTAACACTTTAAAAAGGTCTTTTGCTGCCGATTTGCCCTGTGCGATATGACATTTGATTTCTTGACTGATGCTTCTTCCATGGGTGTTAATTGTGGATTCAAGTAGAATGAAATCCCTAAACATTTTGAAAGTGCTTACAAAACCAGAGGGAATGCATTGTCTTCCATTACCCTCAATATTGCATGAAGGAGCTCTACTTATTAAATTCCATCTGGAAATTAATGTCAATACAAAGTTTGTATGATTTTTTTGCCGAGCTGAAATACTCCTTTTAAAAAAAAAAACAGACAAGTAGAACAACAAGTCTTTATCTCTCTCTCTCTCTCTTTTTTTTTTTTTGCCTTGGTTGTCAAGAAACAGAACGTAATCTCAGTGGCAGTAACTGCCTCATTTTATGAGTATTTGATTATTTTTCATTCGCTATGTGGTTTCCAACATTTTTTGTAAGTCTTGTTTTTAACTACTTTATTTTTAAAAAATAGATGGGTAACACATAAAAGAGTAAGAAAGAGTAATTTGGATATTATGGTTCCCTAAGCTTTTATAAAATTGACCAAAAGAAATCAAGCTTCTCATGGGTTCCAATAATTCTTTCTCAAGACATTTTAGCATTCAATTTTTGTTAATCATTCTATAATAAGCATAAGGTTCTTAGTTGACACTTAGAATCTGTGTACTTTCCAGAAAATATTCCACGTGTGGGATAAAGTTATGCGAAATTTAACATAGGAAGCAGAGAGAATTATGACAAATTCACCACAGTACCAACAATGTGCTCAAAACAAAATATGTTAATTCCTCAGTATTCCACAAAGTCATTATTAAGCTCATTGGTGCAGTAAAATGGGTGAAAGAAAGAAAGATATATAGATCAGATCTAACCTGGAAACAACAGAGTTTCTTGAAATCTAAAAAGAAGGCGAAAAAAATTCCTTCATTTTTTTGCTCATGATATTACACTGACTGCATATTCCAGTAAGAAAGTGTTCAATGTATAAGAAATAAATCACTTTGGAAGTTCTTAAATGTTTTAATACCATGAAATGACTCAAGATGCTGAGAAGGTATAAACACATATATCCCTAATGGCCAGGAAGAAGTCCTGAACTTTAAAAGATGCTCAATGCACTTTATGAATTTATTAGGGATCTCAAGTGTAGATTGAAGCCACTCTATAAATGTCTATGAAAAGTTTGCCTATACTTTGCATTGAATTGGGTTTATTCCCTCTAGAATAATGGCATCAGAGCAAAACATGAAACAGTTGCATGACCAACAAAAAATGAAAAAGAAAATCAAGAACAGTATTATAGTTGATAAATTTTAAAAGTATATAGAATATTAACACAGAGCTTTGTACTACTATAAATTCCACAATATACAAATTATCTGCATGAAGAGATTTTTTGCTGGGAGCTCAGGTAATAATATTGACATGACTCACCTGAATTAATTCATGATTGTCTTTAGAAAACACCGAATCACCTGACAGCAGAAGAGGTTCACTTTTCTCACAGCTCTCCTGGCTGATGAGCGTATCCGCATAGTTTGGCTGTGGGAAGATCAGGTGGCTTTTCCGCGAGTCCGCGGTGAGGGAGACCTCGTGCGAGTAGGTCTGCAGGAAAGCCCGCACCCCGTCCATGCCCACAAAATGCGTGCGGGGCACGCTGGCCAACCCGCCTCCGGAAGAAGCTTGGAGCAGGCGCGACGTGTGCCAACGCCTTAGCCTGAGCACCAGGAGCGCGATAACAAAAGTAAGGAAGACGCAGGAGACAGCGGCCAAGGCAACGACCAGGTACAGCGTGAGGCCTGAATCGTCCTGGTTAGTGGGAGACTCGAGACTGCTCAGGTCAGCCAGGACGTCGGGGATGCTGTCGGCCACGGCCACGGTGAGCGTGACGGTGGCGGAGAGGGGCGGCTGGCCGTGGTCCTGGACGACCACCACCAGGCTCTGCTTCAGCGCGTCTCTGTCCAGCAGGGCCCGCGCCGTGCGCACTTCGCCAGTGTGCACCCCCACAGCGAAGAGCCCTGGCTCGCTGGCCTTAAACAAGTTGTAGGACAGCCAAGCATTCTGTCCTGAATCACGGTCTACCGCCACCACCTTGGTCACCAGGTAGCCCGGCTCTGCAGAGCGAGGTGCTAGTTCCACGCCGGTGGAGCCATCGGTGGGGAGAGCCGGGTACAGGATCTCGGGGACGTTGTCGTTCTGGTCCATCACGTAGAGGCTCAATGATACATTGCTGCTGAGTGGTGGGTCCCCGCTATCGCGTGCGTTCACCCACAGATGCAGGTCGCGAAACTGCTCATAGTCGAAGGATCGCAGTGCATACAGGACTCCAGTGTCCGGATTGATGGAAACAAAGGAGGACAGCGGCGCCCCCTGAAGGATGTTTTCGGCCAGGGAGTAAGTAACTTGAGCATTTTCGTCAGAGTCAGGGTCCTGCGCCGTCACTGAGAAGATGGAAATACCCATGAGGTTGTTTTCTGGGATATATACGGAGTAGGAGGCCTGAGGGAAGGCAGGCGGGTTGTCATTGGTGTCTGCCACGTTCAGTAAAATGTGAGTTGCCATGGACAGCGGTGGACTTCCCCGGTCAGTGGCGGTCACCGTGATGTTGTAGCTAGGAACCTGTTCCCGATCTAAGACTGTGTCAGTTACTAAACTATAGTAATTTCCGTAAGACTTTTCTAGTTTAAAGGGCAGATTTCCTTCGATGAAACAGATCACCTGCCCATTTTCTCCAGAATCTTGGTCATTTATATTTAAAAGAGCAATTAGTGTTCCTCTAGGAGAGTCTTCAAGAACAGAGCTGGTGAGAGAGGTGACAGCTACTTCAGGGGCATTGTCATTCACGTCCAGAACTGTGATCAGGACTTTGGCTCGAGCGGAATATCCCGCATTATCCATTGCCTGCACTTCCATCTCGTAAAACGGTGATTCCTCGTGATTGAGCTCTCCTATTGTTGAAATTATTCCTAAATTAGAATCTAGTTTGAAAACTTGGGCGCCTTTGTCGTCCACATACCGGAAGGAATACGTCACTTCCGAATTGGCTCCTTCGTCGGGGTCGGTGGCGTTTACCAGAAGCAGCTGAGTGCCCACGGCCACGTTCTCCGGAACGCTCACGCGGTACTCCGACTGCGCAAAGGCCGGTGCATTGTCGTTCACGTCAAGGACCACAACGCGGATGTGGGCGGTGCCGCTGCGGACCGGGTCCCCCCCGTCCGAGGCCGTGAGGACCAGGTGGTGAATCGCCTTTGCCTCGCGGTCTAGGGCGCGCTCCAGCACCAGCTCCGGATACTTGTTTCCATCTGCTCCGCTCTGCACGTCCAGAGAGAAGTGAGTATTCGGGCTGAGTTCGTAGCTCTGGAGAGAGTTCTTCCCGACATCCGGATCCCAAGCGTGGGGAAGCGGAAACCGCATGCCAGTGGCTGCGTTTTCACTGATTTTTATTTCTAGTTCACCTTCCCGGAAGTAGGGGGAGTTATCATTAACGTCCCTCACTTCTATCTCCACTCCATATATTTTCACCTTATCTTCCATGAGAATCTCTAGATTTAACAGGCACTTGATGGCCCCCAGACAGAGCTCCTCCCGGTCTACCCTGCCCGTTGTGATCAACCCGCCGCTTCGCGGGTTCAGAGCGAAGAGTTGCGTCCTACCTCTGGAGACAATGCGGACTCCGCGCTCCGCCAGCTCTCGGGGCTCCAGCCCCAGGTCTTTGACGATATTACCCACACTGGAGCCTTTTTCCAGCTCCTCGGGAACTGAATAGCGGATCTGGGTGCATCCAGTTTCCCACAGGATCCCCAGAATGACTGTCAGCAGGACCAGCCCTTTGTAGTCCCGGTGCAGATGCGCAGGAATCATTGTCACTTTCCTCGAGGATTATTTCCAAATGTGCCCTTGACTACCGAAGTCAAGATCAGCTCCTCGGTTCTTGGAATCTGACTGTTGGGGCCAGAACGCCTTCTCTCAGTCACTTCACAATCCGGAAGATGATTGATTAGTTTCTGTCTGTCGATGCTTTGCACTTCAGGCGCGTGCACGGTGAACAGGATCTTAATGCTTTTCTCTCCCTGATTGGTGAACAGCGGCACTCAGAGTCCTAACCAATTACTACACAATCTTGCGCTCCTAGAAAGGATTGTTGCACTTTAGTCCATAAATAGCGCCACCTACTGTTCTTCAAATAGGAATGAAAGTGGAGTCAACTAAAAACCACAGTATTTGTTCTAGTTGAAACTTGAGGGAGCTTCTTTTTATTTCCCTGAGGTTTTTCATGCAGATACTTTCCTGAGATTATTTTCTGTAACTGCAGGTATATTCCGACTTTTTCCAAAGAGTTTGAAAACAAATTTGAAGTTTCTATAGTTATTTTAATTGTATTTTACTGCTCCTAGCTTGAGACCAACCTCAACACACCTGTTACGTATGGGACATTCGCCTAGGTATTTCCCATTTTGATAAATGACATAACAAAATACTTTAAATTTTCTGGTTCAGTTATGATTTGGGGCAAAAATTTTGTTGGACAGGTTTTCTGCATTTGGCTTAATGGAAGAGCTACTTGATCAGAATCTTGACATTTACCCCTTAATTTAAAAAACATATTTTCACAATAATATGGAAACTTGAAAATGAGAAATGTGATTATATATATCGTCAAAATCAAACTTGTCAGGAAGTCAAGTGAAGAAGACACAAGAGGAGCTTTGGAACAAAGTGGAAGTATTTCAACTTGCATTGCCTGGAAATAGGGGCAGTGCTCCAAAACTCTACCAACACGTTAGATTTTCTTTTGTTTAAAGTTTGGTGTTGGGGACGATTTAGCAAAAGAAAATTTGTAATCGAAAGAATATTATAAACTTACCTTTTCCTTGGTAACTGGCCTATTTCAGTTACTGAGATTTAGTGATAATACATTTGGAAATCCATTGTTGTTGTTATTTGCCGTCGAGTCGGACCCGACTCATAGTGACCCCTCCTTGGGTTTCTGAGACAGTATCACTACAGAAGTAGATTGCCCAGCCTTCCTTCCGAGGAGTGGCTGGTGGGTTCGAACCACCAGCCTTCTGGTTAGTAGTCAAGTGCCTTAGGCACTATGTGACCAGAGCTCCTAAGAAATCCATTAGTATACAGGAAAAAATTATCCCTAAGAGACATCTGGCTATTTTGTTTTCATGAATGTAAACATCTATATTTGTATTCTGAGGGTAAGCACCTTTAGGAGGTATAAAGTGATATCTGTAGAACTGACAGGGAATCTACAGGTAGCTGTGAAAAAGATCTGGCCTGAAAGTGACCTACTCAGTGAAATTCAAGGAATCCCTAGCAAACGTACCTGAACATTATTATCAAATCATTACTATGCCCTTATTTTTAAAAGTAAAAATACATTTTCCTCTATAGTAAATAGAGTTTTTAAAGAAAGGTTTATATACTCAAGATATTGATGTTCCAAGGAAGATAAAACCCACAGAAATAAAAAAAAAATGTGTGTGCTTCAGTTTAAAATATTTAGATGTTGGCATCACCACAAGACACATTTCTCACAGTAAAGAAGATTATTTTGGGTGGTTAATAAAGAATATTTCATGAGATTATTAAAATATTTCAGAATACTTGAAGAATATTAATGAGGTTAGCAGCCCACAGGGAAAGAAACAGCAAATATTAATAGAGAAAAAAATGAACATGAAGGGAAATAGGTATAACGTATTTCAGATTTTCTTACCTAAATATTGGTTTGAAAATTAAACCAAAACATTTACAGGTAAAAGATATTCCTTGAAACTCACATGAGTAGAAGCAACAGGTTAAGAGCTCATCTTGTTACTCTCTTTCAGTGACCAGCCGAACCCAAACCCACTGCCGACTCATGGTGACCCTATTGGAGAGAGTAGAACTGCCCCCATAAGGCTTCCTAAGGCAGTAAATCTTTATGGAAACAATTCTCCCCTTGGTGCGTTCCAAACGCCCACTTTTGGTTACCAGAGGAACATCTTAACCAATGCACCACCAGAGCTCCATTCCTTAGTGACACTTACTACCAAAGAAGCTTCATTACAGAGGTCTTGTGGGGGAACCATTTCTGGCGTCGAGGTGAGAAGATTAAACCTAGTTTTTCCCAAATCGGAGGCTACGTACAGGTTGTAGGAGTAAGGCAAAGTTCCCTCGCTGTAGTTGGGAGAAACCTCGAGTTCAGTCTTAAAACAGAGACCACGCTGAAAGCAGCCCCCGGTGGCGGTGGTGGCGGAGCGTCTCAGGCGGAGGGCAATGGCCAGAATCACCGAGAGAAGGAAGAGCACGGAGATCAAGGCCAAGGCCACCACCAGATAAAACTGCAGCTCCGCCTGGGGGTCAGAGGGCGCAGGGTGGTCGCTGAGGTCTGGCAGCGCCTCCTGCAAGCTGTCAGCGAAGACTAGGTATAGCGTGGCGGTGGCCGACAGGGGTGGTTGCCCTCCGTCAAGTACAGCCACCAGCAGACGCTGGCGGGCTGCGTCCCTGTCGCCCAAGGCGCGAGCGGTGCGCACCTCGCCGGTGCGCAGCCCCAGGCTGAAGAGCCCGGGCTCGCTGGCCTGAAGCACGTGGTAGGACAGCCAGGCATTGTGCCCAGAGTCTGCGTCCACCGCCACCACCTTGGTGACCAAATAGCCCGGCTGTGCAGCTCGTGGCACTGTGTCGAAGAGCGCTGAGCCATCAGGTCCCAACGCTGGGTACAGCACCCTGGGTGCGTTGTCGTTGAGGTCGTCCACCAGCACCCGCAGGCTCACGTTGGCGCTGAGCGCGGGCGAGCCCTGATCACGCGCCTGCAGCGTCAGCTCGAAGGCGCGCAGCTGCTCGTGGTCGAAGGCGCGCTGCGCGAACACCACGCCGCTCTGCTCGCTCACAGACACGTAGGACAACAGCGCCCGCGGCTGCAGGTCTCTGGCTAAGATAGAGTAGGAGACACGACCATTGGGCCCCACGTCCGAATCTGAGGCACTCACTTGCGCAATGGAGGCTCCAGGAGGGTTGTTTTCGGCCACATGGACCACGTAAGCTGCCTGGTGGAAAACGGGAGCGTTGTCGTTAACATCGGCGATGTGCAGGGTGACGCTTGTACTGGAGGAGAGTGGCGGTTTCCCTTTGTCGATGGCCGTGATGGTGATGTTGTACTCTGGCGTCTGCTCTCGGTCCAGGGCCCCTTCTGTTACAAGCTTGTAGTAATTACTGGCGGAAGATTCGATTCTAAAAGGAACGGTTTCTTTTATGAAGCATGTGATCTCCCCATTTTCCCCAGAATCTCTATCGTGTGTTTTGAACAGAGCTATCACCGTCCCTGGCTCTGCATCTTCAGTAATGGAACTGGCTATCGAGGTGAAAGCTACGCCTGGAGCATTGTCGTTCTCGTCTAGAATGTCTAGTATAACCTTACATTCGGTGGCCATGCCTCCTCCGTCCTTGGCTTCTATGCTCATGGTATAGCTGCTGCTGACTTCGAAGTCTATAAGATCTTTGGATTTGATTTCTCCACTCTGATGGTCTAGTGTAAACGTATTTCTAACATCATCTTCTAGAGTTTTAAAAGAGTAGGTAATCTCAGCATTGATGCCCTCGTCCTGGTCAGTGGCCGTCACCATCAGCACGGACGTGCCTGGGGGTACATTCTCGCGTATACTGACTCTGTATTCATCCTGGCTGAACACTGGGGCATTATCATTGGCGTCGGTGACCTCGATCCGGATTTTGGTGGTACCAGTTCGGACAGGGTCGCCCCCATCAACTGCTGTTAGGACCAGGACATGGGAGCTCTGCTGTTCCCGATCCAGGGGCTTATCCAACACCAATTCTGGGGCATTCTTGCCTTTATTCTTGTCTTTCACCGTCAGAGAGAAATGCTCATTAGAGCTGAGTTGGTAACTCTGGAGAGAGTTGCGCCCTATATCTGCATCTACAGCGGATTCCAGGCCAAACCGAGAGCCTCGAATTGCAAGTTCATTTATTTGTAAAACAATGCTATCTTTGGAGAAATGTGGTGGATTGTCATTTATATCTTCTATTATCACGTTTAAGTGAAAAACATTTAGGGGATTCTCTACGACAATCTCTAAGGGCAAGACACAAAGAGGTTTTTTGGGACAGAGCGACTCCCGATCTATTCTGTCACTGATGATTATGTTCCCATTCTCTGTGTTCACGGTAAAGTACTGTTTCTCCGCACTAACTCTGAGGTTGCGAATCAGTAAATCCCGTACCTGCAGCCCCAGGTCCTCAGCGAGGTTCCCCACCACGGATCCCCTGGCCATCTCTTCCGGAATAGAGTAACTGATCGGTTCTGAGAGCGCCCCGCAGAACAAAGGCAGCAGGAAGGGAAATAGTACTTGCCGCCGCCCGATCCTGCTCTTCTGTTTCGCGCTATTTCCCATTCTTCTCGCTGGTCGCTGCAGCCTCGGAAGTTAAGAAAAAGGTGCTTTACAAATCTCTTTGAAAATATTTACTTCCACTGCGTAGAAAAATCAATGTTCCCAGTTTGAGGACATCCCAATACGTATTCCAGAATCAGATTTGCTGAGCAGAGCTCACGAGTCCGAGTCACTCTGCTTCCGACTTGCTTCTGTGACTGCGCAGAAAATCATCCCGGTAGATCCCTGCTCCACCTCTAGCAACGCGTTGGCCAATAGCGGCGCTCAGAGTCCATTTAGAAAACTGCAGTCAGAAGACTGCAAATTCAGTGAGATTCGGTGTTCAGAGAGAAGTGTTGGACCGGTGCATAGAGAACTAGGCAGGTTGTGAGTTTTGAATGAGTCTTTTTTTTTTTTTTTTCTTCAATGTTTACTACTCAAGAAGGCTCCTGAAAGATGAGATCCTAGAGAAGTGCCATTAGTTCAGTAATGGCAGATTAAAAGTTTGTCTTTTTCTAATCGGAAGCAATGCATACATTAGAAGAACGAGGTAAAATCTTCTTTCCAGACTTAAAGATGATGAGGGAAAACAATCCCACCAGGTAATATGGAGAAATTTTGACAGTCATGAATGACATCCAATAATATGTTAAATCTGATGTGTGCTTAATTTTCCACTTCCTTTTATCAGAGGAAACTAGAGGAGAGCTCAAAGCTGTATAAGGCATACTCAGGATAAGGATGGTGAATGCCATACAATCTTCCTTGTTATTCATAAAAGAGACTTACAACAATAATTATGAAGTGTTTTAAACTTTCATCATAAGCAGAATATGTAGGTTACCATAGGAATTTAATGACGTGAAATGTGAAAGTGTTTTATTTTTATCCTTATATGTTACAACCTAACAATTTTATGTTATTGTTAGGTGCTGTCAAGTCAGCTCAGACTCATAGTGACCCTATTATGCACAAAAGAACTTTATAATTGCCTCTAAATCAAAATAATCTTCTTAATGTCAAGTTTCAAAGCCACCTTCCCTTTTTCTTTTCTAAGATCTTGGTTGCCAGCTAACTAATTCACACTATGTAAAAAATATGGAACAATATTCCTCTCCCAGCCAACTACCTTATGTTCTTTTTCAACATCTAATCCAGTTCAAGTACAATATCTTAGGCCTTTTTTCTCCGTTTGAAATTTCATAAGCCCAATGCTAACCCTAGATGCTCAAAAAAAATTTTCATGGCTTCAAGACAATTTTAGGCATCTTTTGAGGTTGACTCTCTCCTAGAGTTGAAATTCTCTTGGCCCAAGCACTAGAGACTAACATTTAAGTTTACATTTAAGGTCAATTACTGGAGGAGAAGCATAAAATTGAGAGGGAAGATGAACATACAAGTCAACTGGGCCAAATATCTAGGAGTAGTATCAGAGTGCTGTGTTGAATTGAGGGTGGAGATGATTCCTGGGATCAAATACCGAGGTAAGTCTCCTTCCCTCACTTTCCTGGACACTGCTTCACATAACATGCATGGCATTAGGTTAACTATCAAAGCTTCAATAACAAGTTAGTCTTGAATATAAGAATCAAATATACTTATATGTAATACGAAATGAACTTATGAAGGAAAGACTAGGGGGAATTCAGGACTCCTAGGCATATAGGAACTCTGGTAGCATAGTGCCTAAGGCACTTGACTGCTAACCAGAAGGCTGGTGGTTCAAACCCACCGGCCACCCCTCAGAAGGAAGATTGGGCAATCTACTTCTGTAGAAATACCACCTCAGAAACACAAGGAGGGGTTGCTATGAGTCCAATTGACACAATGGCAGTGAGGTTTTTTTTTTAGTTTAGGCGTATTGAAAATAGCCAAAAAATACCCAGGAGAATATCAGTTAAATCTGTCTCTTATCCAGCCTAAACACCCACCCCACCTCTTATATTCACTAATTATTCCATATAAATAAATCTACAAAACATAGACATCTTCAGCAGATTTGAAAATAACTTATGAGAAACACTGGGTGAAAATTAAGTTATTTCTATATGTGAATTGGCTACATTTAAAACCCTCACACATACACACACAAATAGTAAGCATAAGCAAAAGAATAAAAGGAAGTAACACTACTTCAACAAATCAATTATTTCATGAGAACAGCCTAACAACACCTACAGTAATAATAATAAGAAGAAGATGATGCCTGGAACTTAAGAAAATAAATGAGTTCTATATTCCCTCTTCCAAGAGAGTCTATTAAATTAAAAGGCAATCAATTTATCTGTTTTGGTAGGATGAAGTAATGAGACAAAGCTGAAATACTCAACAGGATCTAAATACATTACCAACCATTAAGACTCAAAACCTAATTGGTCTGTGCTCAAAGAAAACCTTGGTTGTATAGATATGTGTGTGTGACTGATATTCGTATAAAAGAGCTAGAAATCATGCTACTAAATTAATAGGGTCAAATCTGAATATTAAAATAGCAGTATAACTCCAAATCAGTATGTGGTTGTTGTTAAGTGCCATTGAGTCAGCTTCGGCTCATAGTGACCCTATGTACAACAGAATGAAACTCTGCCCATCCTCACAATCTGTCCCATCCTCACAATCCTTGCTATGTTTGAGAAATCAGTATAGACAATGTGAAGTTCAAGAAATAGGGAAATAACTAAAAAGTGTTTTTGAATCAGTTTTATATTGATAGCCACAGACACTGATGATAGAAAAATAAAAGTAAAACTCAATTTAGTACAAAGTAAGGCATGACAGCAGAACTAGTCCTTTGGAATATATCTATGTATATGTATATATAACTACTACTACTACTACTAAAACCAAAATGACTTCCACAAAACCTTTCGGGAAAATGATGGTAATTTGATAAAAGAAAAAGTATATACACGCACATGTACTGCTCTAAATATGTAGTATAAATTGAGTGCTCCCCCACCCCACCCCGCGAGAAAGGAGTTTCATAAAATGTTCAGAAAAAAGCTAATTACAAGGCCAGTGCCAAGACACCGCACTTGGGAGACGGAAATAAACCTCACCTGATTATTCGTCAGATCGCTTTTGCCTAAACCCGTAGCTGAGTCTTCAGCTATTAAGAGTGGTTCGCTTTTCTCATAGCTCTCCTGGCTGATGAGCGTATCCGCATAGTTTGGCTGCGGGAAGATCAGGTGGCTCTTCCTCGAGTCCGCGGTGAGGGAGACCTCGTGCGAGTAGGTTTGCAGGAAAGCCCGCACCCCGTCCACGCCCACAAAGTGCGTGTCAGGCACGTTGGCCAACCCGCCTCCGGAAGAAGCTTGGAGCAGGCGCGACTTGTACCAGCGCCGCATTCTGAGCGCCATCAGTACGATGACAAAGGCAAGGAAGACGCAGGAAACTGCGGTCACAGCCACTACCAGGTACAGCGTGAGTCCAGACTCGTCAGGATTGGCGGGAGAGTCTAGGCTGCCCAGATCGGCCAGGACATCGGGGATGCTGTCGGCCACAGCCACGGTGAGCGTGACGGTGGCTGAGAGAGGAGGTTGGCCATGGTCCTGGACGGCCACCACCAGACTCTGCTTCAGCGAGTCTCTGTCCTGCAGGGCTCGCGCCGTGCGCACCTCGCCTGTGTGCACACCAACCGTGAAGAGCCCTGGCTCGCTGGCCTTGAGCAGGCGGTAGGACAGCCAAGCGTTCTGACCTGAGTCTCTGTCCACCGCCACCACCTTGGTCACCAGGTAGCCGGGCTCTGCGGAGCGGGGTGCTAGTTCCACGCCGGTGGAGCCGTCAGTAGGAAGGGTGGGGTACAGGATCTCGGGTGCGTTGTCGTTCTGGTCCAGCACGAACAGGCGCAGTGACACGTTGCTGCTGAGCGGCGGGTCCCCACTATCCCGTGCTGTCACCCACAGCTGTAGGTCTCGGAACTGCTCATAGTCGAAGGAGCGCAGCGCATATAGGACTCCAGTGTCCGAATTGATGGAGATGTAGGAAGATAGAGGCGTCCCCTGGATGGTGTCCTCCGCAAGAGAGTAAATAACTCGGGCATTGTCTTTGCTATCCGGGTCATGGGCTGTCACTGAGAAGATAGAAGAGCCTCTAGGATTGTTTTCAGGAATGTAGGCTGAGTAAGTGGGGTGAAGGAAAGCGGGTGGGTTATCGTTGTCGTCAGCCACGTTCAGGGAGATATGAGTTTCTGTAGACAAGGGCGGACTTCCTTGGTCTGTGGCTGTCAAGGTTATATTATAATTCTGGACCTGCTCCCTGTCCAGGGCTGTGTTTGTTATCAACTTGTAATAATTCCCATAAGTCTTTTCTAATTTAAAAGGCAAATTCGTAGGAATGAAACAGGAGACCTGACCATTTTCTTCAGAGTCTTGATCTTGAACGTTAAGAAGAGCAATTACTGTACCTGGAGGAGAGTTTTCCAGGATTGAATTAGTAGAAGAGGTGATGGTTATTTCGGGAGCATTATCGTTCACATCCACAACAGTGATCAGCAACTTGGCGGTGGCCAGTAGACCTCCACCATCTTGGCCTTGGATTTCCATCTCATAGAATCTGTATTTCTCATAATCCAGAGACCCCCATATTAGGACTTCTCCAGTTCGAGAATCTAACTGGAATGTTTCAGAAGCTTTGCTTTCCATATTCTGGAATGAATACATCACTTCCCCATTGACTCCTTCATCTGGATCGGTTGCGTTTACTACGAGCACCCGAGTTCCAGAGCTAAGATTCTCGGGAACACTCACTCGATACACAGACTCTGTAAACTTTGGGATGTGGTCATTTACATCGAGGACCACCACCCGAATGGAAACAGTGCTCTGGCGGATAGGAACGCCTCCATCTAAGGCTGTGAGGCGAAGAAGGTGAACAGCCTCTTTCTCCCGGTCCAGAGCCCCCTCCAGCACGAGCTCTGGATTCTTGGCCCCATGGCTTCCTCCTCGCACGTGCAAGGAAAAGTAGCTATTAGGGCTGAGCTGGTAGCTCTGGAGGGAGTTCACTCCCACATCTGGATCCTTAGCATTAGGAAGGGGGAATCGCAAACCCGGAGATGCATGCTCACTGATTTTTATCTCTACTTCCTCTTCCCGGAAGCTGGGGGCGTTATCATTAATATCTGTTATTTCTACCTCCACTCCGTAAATCTTCAAGGCATCTTCTACAAGAATCTCCATATTTAAAACACAGGCGGAAAAAGTTTCACAGAGCTCCTCCCGGTCTATCCTGCCCGCCGTGATCAAGCTGCCGCTTCGCGGGTTCAGAGCGAACAGCTGCGTCCTACCTCTGGAAACGATGCGGACTCCGCGCTCCGCCAGCTCCCGGGGCTCCAGCCCCAGGTCCTTGGAGATATTGCCCACGAAGAAGCCTTTGTCCGTCTCTTCAGGCACTGAGTATCCAATCTGCCCGGCTCGGGACTCCCGCAATGTCCCCAAGAAAATGCAAAGCAGGACCAGACCGCCGCAGTCCAGGTTCCGTAGCCGATCCGCCATGGCAGTGTTTGAGCTGATATTACGGGGTTTCTAGCGTCGGTTTGTTTCTGAATCAGTTTGTGTATCTACGAAGTCCCGGACCCTCAGCATCCAAAAGATTACAACAGGAAGGCAAGTATTTTAACATTCCGGCATCAGAGTCTGTGAGTATCCATCGCTGCTACGCTTTGTGTGGCCGAGGTGGGGGAGGGAGGGACTCGATCGCTTGCGCTTCCCATTCCCTGATTGGTGAACAGCGGCGCCTAGAGTCCAATCTTATTTTTGCAACGTGTAAGAAAAATCCAACTAACTCGCGGGTCCAGAAATGACTACTCACCTCTTTGAGAATCATACGTATTTGTAAAGCTTGAAATTGCTAACAATGAAGACTTATATAATATGATTTTCAAAGTTTACCAGGAATTCCTATGAAAAGAGTAATTATGAAAAACAATCACATATTTTTAAGGTTTCAAAATACTACTGGAACTGAAAACCTGAAGACTAGATTTGGTTCCGATTCATTTTTTGCGACCTAAGGGACTGGCATTTGTGAATGTGGAAACAGCACAGTCCTGACAAAAATAATCAGGTAGGGCGAGGATGCATGGCTGTAATTATTGTCAGTGTTTATTTGAGTAGAATGAAGACTGAACATTTGAGAAAAGTTCAATGTCTTTAGGGTTGTCGTTTAAAATACCATGGTATAAAAACATCGGGGGTCCCACAGCCTTAATTTACAGGTATTTAATTTCATGAAAATTTCATCTAGATTTCATTGCTGATTTTATCTTAAAGTGCCTTTGAAAAGTAAGAATGAAGCATTGTAAACTTTAGTCTTAACAGTGATCTCCATAGGTTTATCTTACATTTACTGTAGGAACTTTATGAAGAGATTGTCTAGAATCTTGAAACAACAGTGCCATACAATATTGGGATATAAAAAGCATTATTTTAAACACTTACCTGTTTAAAAGACTTATCTGCTTCAACACTGGGTGTTAAAATGTTAGCCAATAGCACTGAGGAGCTGTTTTTGTTGAGATTATCTTGAGTGGCTGGACAATAATCCACAGATGTGAGAAAATTAAATTCTGGATTAGCTTGATCGCCAGGCACACACAAATTATAGGCATAGGGTAGTGTTCCCTCACTGTAGTTGGGAGGAACCCTGGGATCAGACTTGGCACAGAGAACAGACCTATAGCAGCCCCTGGTGGCGTTGGAGGAGGAGCGTCGCAGGCGCAATGCAATAGCCAGAATCACAGCGAGGAGGAACAGCATGGAGATCAAGGCCAAGGCTACCACCAGATAAAACTGCAGCTCGGCCTGGGGATCAGAGGGCTCAGTGTGGTCTCTGAGGTCCGGCAGGGCTTCCTGCAGGCTGTCTGCGAAGACCAAGAGCAGCGTGGCTGTGGCCGAGAGAGGAGGCTGTCCTCCATCGCGTAGGGCGACCAGCAGGCGTTGGCGGGACGCGTCCTTGTCATTCAAGGCGCGAGCCGTGCGCACCTCGCCCGTGCGCAGCCCCAGGCTGAAGAGTCCGGGCTCGCTGGCCTGCAGCACGTGGTAGGACAGCCAGGCGTTGTGCCCGGAGTCTGCATCCACCGCCACCACCTTGGTGACCAGGTAGCCTGGCTGAGCCGCGCGCGGCACCATGTCGAAAAGCGCTGAGCCATCAGGCCCCAGCGTCGGGTACAGCACCCTGGGCGCGTTATCGTTAAGGTCGCCCACCAGTACACGCAGGCTCACGTTGGTGCTGAGCGCGGGCGAGCCCTGGTCATGCGCCTGCAGCGTCAGCTCGAAGGCGCGCAGCTGCTCGTGGTCCAAGGAGCGCTGCGCGAACACCACGCCGCTCTGCGCGCTCACGGACACGTAGGACGACAGCGCCCGCGGCTCCAGGTCGCTGTCTACTATGGAGTAGGACACTTGGCAATTTGGCCCCAGGTCCGGATCCAAAGCGCTGACTTGCGCTATGGAGGCGCCGGGAGGATTATTTTCAGGCACATGAACCACGTAGGCGGACTGTTGGAAAACTGGTGCATTGTCGTTGACGTCGGCAACGTGCAAAATGAGGCTTATGGTGGAGGACAGGGGTGGTTTACCCCGGTCGAGAGCCGTGATGGTGACGTTATACTTTGGGGTCTGCTCCCGGTCTAGGGCCCCGTCTGTTATAAGCTTATAGTAATTCTTAGAAGAAGAATGAATCTTGAAAGGAACATCTCTTCCTATATGACACAAGACTTCTCCATTTTCCCCAGAATCTCGGTCCCGTGTTTTGAAAAGGGCTACCACCATTCCGGGGCGGGAATTCTCCAAAATCTGATCAGAGAGAGAGGTGAGTATGATTTCTGGGCGGTTGTCGTTTTTGTCCAGAACTTCTATAATTATTTTACACTGTGTAGAAAGAGATCCCCGGTCCTTTGCTTCCACACCCATTGTGTATCTTTCTACTTCTTCAAAATCCAAGGACTGGTTAGTTACAATGTCTCCTGTAGTGGAATCCAGAGAGAACACGTGCTGAGCTTTGTCAGCCACATCTAGTAAGGAGTAGGTGACTTCCGCATTGACACCCTCATCCCGGTCGGTGGCCTTCACCCGAAGCACCGAGGTGCCTGGGGGCACGTCTTCCATCAGGCTGACCCTGTACACGTCCTGGCTGAACACAGGAGGGTTATCATTGGCATCCACTACATGGATCCGGATCTGTGCGGTGCCGCTTCGGGGAGGGTCCCCGCCGTCTAAAGCCGTCAGGATCAAGTGGTGAGCGCTCTGTTTTTCTCGGTCCAGGGTCTTCTGTAACAGTAATTCTGGATATTTGCCACCATCGGGATTTTCTTTCACCACCAAGGAGAAATACTCATTAGGACTTAATTGGTATTTGTTCAGTGAATTCATATTAATGTCGGGATCTTTGGCAGACTCAAGAATTGTTCCCATGCCTGGACTGGCAGATTCACTGATTTCTAAGTTTATTTCATCTTTACGGAATTGAGGGGCGTGGTCATTAATATCCTCAACAACCACAACGACATGAAAAATGTTTAAAGGATTTTCAACCACGGCTTCCAACTGCAACTCACAAATCCTTCTCTCCCTGCATATCTGCTCACGGTCTATTCGGTCCTTCACAAGCAAGTCCCCGCTCTCCACGTCTACCTTGAAATGCGGCTTCTCTGCGCTAACTCTCAGCTTCCGAGCTGACACATCCAGGACACTGAGACCTAAGTCTCTGGCGAGCTTTCCCACTACCGAGCCCTGGGCCAGCTCCTCGGGAATCGCGTAGCGGATCGGCTCGCAGAGCGCGGGGCAGAACAAAGGCAGCAGGAAGGAGAACAGTACCTGCCGCCGGCCGGCCGGGCGCCTCTGCGCGCAGCTCCCTCCCATTCCGCGCTCCTGTTCGCTCTTGGCCCTCCTCGTTGCGTTTCTGGAAAGCTGAAAAATCTGCAGTCCGCGGTGTTCCTGGAAGAGCATTCGGCCCAGGACAGAAGGACCCCCAGTATCGGGGCTAGGAATCCGTGTGTGCTGAGCAGAATGATCTAAGCGGCTGGGAGCTTCAGTGTATGAAGTGGTTTCCTTCTCTCGGCGTTTGTGGCTGCGCAGGAAATCCAAGATTGAAGGCTGAGGGATCCCGGGCGTCAGCGCTTGCTCTGCACTGTCCGACAGCGGCGCCCAGAGGCTGAGTGTGAGACCGCAGGCTGGCTTTTTCCTCCATCTCTATTTCAGGAGGTCTTTTTTCTTCTTTTACATACAAGTTGACAAGACTAAACTATTTGAATCTTACAGATATGGTCATGGCTATGATATCTTTTTATACATTAAAATGTGGATTTATTTTAAATTTATAAAGTATATCTTTTTGAATAAAAAAAGTTTAAAGAATAGAGTGAAAATTGGACACCTATCCCAATGCCCACTTCGATCCAGTTCCGCCATCCAGAGGCAATCACCGTTGTTACTGTTAAGGTAATAATCTGCGAAACTGACAGTATTTAATAAAAGTAATACATTTTTGTCTTCAACCCAAGCCCACATTCACCTAGAAAGCAATAATCATTTCATCTATAGTTAGGAACTAGAATGCAATATTACATATCCATATGCCTTACAAACATCCAGGTTGCCCTGCACTACGTTTAAATGATTATATTTTAAAACATCTGCTTACAATAGCTATAATGGCAAAGAGTAGGTTTAAAAAAAAAAACATATTTCTCAAAATAAAGGAATTATTTGAGATGGATGTATAATAATTTTGCCTTTCATGGAGATAAGTTTGAATGATTAAGTCGTTAATAACTATGGCTTGGAGGAGTGCACATTCCTTCCCACAGACCTATCATTGAACAACTGTTAACATGGGGCGGGGGGTTCATGTTCTTATAAGTATTTTGACACACATAAGAACTGACTTTATGCTACCATATTAGTTTAAAAGAATATTAGTAATAATTTAAAAGAGATCAAACCAAATATATCACTGTATTCAATGAACTAGATGGGTTCCCTAGTTACTCCAGTGAAAATTTGTTAGAATAATTTTGTGTACTTCTCCACTTATATTCCAATCTCCTACAGAGTGACATTTCTTTCTGGACTGTAATAGTTTCTACACTTAAATTCAAAGGTGGGATTTCCTTTCTCTACATTAAGGGGCTCTTGAAATACCCTTTAGCATACATCCCTGGTTCCTATTATTGGGAATATGTACTTAAACCTTTCTGCCTCTTGTATCCATGTTTTTTGCAGCCTTTGGAAGAGCAGAACCCAAAATTCCCCCGAGTTAACCTTCTACTGGGTCTGTAGACTACCTGTTGCATAAGAAAAGTCCGATAAAAATGCTGTATCTTCCACATAGCAGTATGAAATTAGAGAATCATGGGGAAAAGATGTTGCACCGTTATTAGGGATGATTATAGTCGGAAATTGGAAGGAAGATGGGGCAATCTACTTCCATAGTGATACTGCCTCAGAAACCCAAGGAGGGGTCACTGAGTCAGGTCTGACTCGAAGGCACATAACAACAACATAGTTGGAAAAGATTAAGCATACATTGCTATGATTTGTTAATAGAACACCAACAAAAAGTTTAAATCTCCCTAGGCAGTGTATTCAACTGCAAAGTCAATTTGAGAAATATAACTACAAAGTATAGTGTCCTTCTCCTTGCAAAGAGCAACAGTCAGTGACCTTTGGCTTTGGGTTGTGTTTCCAGTAAAGATAATACATTTGTTTCTGATATTTATATATTCTCATCAGATCTGCCTTCAAAACAACAGCATGTACTGAAACAGTCTAAGAGGCTAGGGATTCAGCATGTGGCCACCCAGAAAGGACACAAATTAACTGACACTCCTGTACAGAAGTCTTCTATTAGGAAGTATTGTAATCAACCAAATTGAAAAATATATAAGGCTGTACAAAACTAATCATAGCAGCCTTAAGACAAGAGGTCTTCTTTGGGATTAGGTGAATATTTACCAGAAAATAAAGTAATCTTAAGAACCAACAAATTTCATTCTTTGATGTTTTTGCCTTGAAGAGGAAAGAGACATTGTAACAGAGGGAAATGTGAAGAAAACTTGAAGATTGAATTTTTCTATCATACCAAACCAATCATACACTTTAAAATGAAAGAAAATGAATAAAAATAGAACTCACTGGAACCAAAGGGGTATCTTCTATAGGACACCTTGAGTCATCTAACAGAGACAAAGGGTCTTTTTTCTCACAGCTCTCCTGGCTGATGAGCGTGTCTGCATAGTTAGGCTGGGGGAAGATGATGTGGCTCTTCCCGGAGTCTGCAGTGAGGGAGACCTCGTGGGAATAGGTCTGCAGGAAGGCCCGCACGCCGTCCACACCCACAAAATTCGAGGCGGGCAGGCTGGGCATCATGCTGCCGGAAGCCTGGAGCAGACGCTTCGTGTGCCAGTGCCGCAGCCTGAGCATCAACAGTATGATGACAAAGGCGAGGAAAACACAGGAGACAGTTGCCACGGCTATCACAAGGTACAGCGTGAGGCTCGAGGCATCAGGGTCTGCAGGGGGCTCGAGGCTACCCAGATCAGCCAGGACGTCAGGGATGTTGTCTGCCACAGCCACGGTGAGTGTGACGGTGGCTGAGAGAGGGGGCTGGCCATGGTCCTCGACTGCCACCACGAGGCTCTGCTTGAGCGCATCTCTGTCTTGCAGGGCCCTCGCGGTGCGCACCTCGCCTGTGTGCACTCCCACAGCAAAGAGCCCTGGCTCACTGGCCTTTAGCAGGCGGTAGGACAGCCAGGCATTCTGTCCTGAGTCGTGATCAACAGCCACCACTTTGGTCACCAGGTAGCCGGGCTCTGCAGATCGGGGTGCCAACTCCACACCAGTGGAGCCATCTGTGGGGAGAGCGGGGTATAAGATCTCAGGTGCGTTATCATTCTGGTCAAGCACGAAAAGGCTCAATGACATGTTGCTGGTGAGCGGCGGGTTCCCGCTGTCACATGCTGTCACCTGCATGTGCAATTCTCGAAACTGCTCATAGTCGAAGGAGCGCAGAGCATACAGGACGCCAGTGTCGGAATTGATGGAGACGTAGGAGGACAAGGGCGCCCCCTGGATGGCGTCTTCAGCCAGCGAGTAAGTGACCTGGGCGTTCTTTTCGCTGTCGGGATCGTAAGCAGTAACCGAGAAGATGGAGGCGCCTCTGGGGTTGTTTTCTGGAATATAGGTGGAGTAGGAGACATAAGAGAAGGTGGGTGGGTTGTCATTGACATCTGCCACGTGCAGGGTGAGGTGAGTTTCTGTTGATAAGGGTGGATTTCCCCCATCTGTGGCTGTTACAGTGATATTATAAGAGGATACCTGTTCCCTGTCGAGGGCCCTGTGAGTCACCAATCTATAATAATTGTCAATGGACTTCTCTAATTTAAATGGCTGATTCCCAGAAATAGAGCAGGTGACCTGCCCGTTCTGTCCAGAGTCTAAATCGTGCACATTTAAAAGGGCTATAACAGTTCCGAGAGGAGAATCTTCACTCACTGGACTAAACAGGGATGTGATGGTCACCTCTGGACTGTTGTCATTTACATCTTCGACTGTTATCAGAACTTTTGCAGTTGCAAGATATGCCCCTCCATCTTCCGCTTGTACTTCTATTTCGTAGACATCTGTTTCTTCATAATCTAGATTTTCTGATATTTTGATTTCCCCAGTATGCTTATTCAGCTGGAATTTCAACAAATCTGTGTCAGGTAAATTTCGGAATAAGTATGTCACTTCCCCATTGGCTCCTTCATCCCTATCAGTGGCGGTGACCGTCAGCAGCCATGTGCCCACAGGCAGGTTCTCGGGAACACTCACTCGGTATTCAGGCAGGGTGAAGACCGGCGCGTTGTCATTTGTATCGAAGACAGTCACAGTGACCAGGGCAGTGCCAGATCGGAGAGGGTCCCCTCCATCCGAGGCGGTGAGGACCAGATGGTGCACCGCCTCTTCCTCGCGATCCAGGGCGCGCTCCAGCACCAGCTCCGGATACTTGATGCCATTGGCTCGGCTCTGAACCCGCAGGGAGAAGTGTTTACTAGGGCTGAGCTGGTAGCTTTGTAGGGAGTTCACGCCCACATCCGGATCTACAGCTTCCGGAAGTGGAAAACGCATTCCGGGAGGGACGTTTTCATTAATTTTTACATCTAGATTTTCTGCTTGGAATTTGGGGGCATTATCGTTAATGTCAGTTACTTCTATTTCTATCCCGAAAAGCTTCACTCTGTCTTCAACAAGGATATTAAAATTCACCAGACACCGCGCGCTTTGGGCGCAGAGCTCCTCCCGGTCTATCCTGCCCGCCGTGATCAAGCTGCCGCTTCGCGGGTCCAGAGTGAAAAGCTGCGTCCTACCTCTGGAGACGATGCGGACTCCGCGCTCCGCCAGCTCCCGGGGCTCCAGCTCCAGGTCCTTGGAGATGTTGCCCACGAAAGAGCCTTTGTCTAACTCCTCAGGAACAGAGTAGCGTATCTGCCGGGCTCCGGCATCCGACAGCATCCCGAAGAAAAGACAGAGCAGAACCAGCTGGCGGCGGTCGGGGCGATTCCTTTGAGCGGCCATTGTGTCTGGAATCGGAATCCTCTCAAAGTCCACAGTGGGCACGTTGTGTGTTTCAATCCTCTCCTTTTTCCTTCTGTGGCTGCAGGGAGTGTCTGTAACCTGCGCACCTTAAATTGCCGAGTGAGTTTCTCTGCAGTTCCGGAGCCAGTTGGTAGAAATTGTGGGGCTTTGTGTAGTTGGAGCCCCAGGAGCCGGGTGGGAAGCTGCCTGCGCTCTTTCCTAGTAGGTGAACAGCGGCGCTCAGAGTCCTAAGAAGTTATTGCACCCATTAATGCACTAGAAAGCAAACGCTATTTGGTTTGTGTTGGATATTTTGTTTTACCTTACTTTGGTTCCTGCACTCATACAGGTAAATCAATCACTATTGGTAAGTCTCTTGGTGGAGCATAAAGGGGAATAAAAATACTATAACATATTAATAAGAGTTGATTAAATATATTTGCAACACTCATTTTCCCAATAGATACGTGCTTGTTTTATTTGAGTTTTTAGATATATTCAGAAAAGTCTTACAATTTTACTTGAAATTGTGATTTAAATGATGCAGTTATATTTGGTAAACATTCATATGAAGTCTGTATTGATATACCTCTTATGAGATAATTCACTTTAAAATTTTAAAATTTAGATTTAATTTCACTGCATTTGTTTAGCATTAATATTGTGATAAGAGATTTTAAAATATTCTTTTCTAAAATAATTTTATTGTGCCTTAATGATTTTTTAAAAAATTAAATACTTCGTATAGGCATATAATTTTATCTATTTAAATGAATCTAGCAATATAGTAACAAACTAAAAGGAATATCTATTACAGTTGAAATTAAAATATTTGTGTTGTAATGAGAAGAGAAGGGGCTCTGGTGGTTCTGTGGTTAAAGCATTGGGCTGCTAACCAAAAGATCTGTGGTTCAAATCTAACAGCCACTCTGTGGGAGAAAGATGAGACTGCATGCTTCTGTAAAGATATAGAGCTTTGGTAACTCTACAGGGCAGTTCTACTCTGCTATAGGGTCGCTATGAGTCAGAGTCAACTCAATGACAGTGGGTGTGTTTTTAGTTAATGAGAAGAGAAAATATACTAGAATTTCAACTGTTGAGAATTTTAAAATGGCACGAGAATGAGGCAGAAGATTTTTTTTAAATATATATAAGTGTTTATGTCAAATGACCTGCTCTTACCAAGGCATTGACACCAACATAACTAATCTTTTCTCTTGGGTAGCTCTTATGGAAACTGATGGTAAGTAGTTCACACATCTTCAGTTGCATGTGTCCATCAACCCAGCGGCAGTTATCTCCTCAAGAGGAAGGTTTGGAGTTTCACATATTTCACATGGGTTTTCCAGAAGGGTTTTTGTCATCATACCTCCAAGTAGGAGTACTTTAAAGATGTTATTTTTTTTCTTCAGAGACTTTATGGTAGAGAATCAGAGACTGACAGCAAAAGGCAATAACATTTCATTTGCTTTCTTGAAAATTTCTTCATTTTCCAAGTAGAGGAAAAGGGATTGCGAATGAGTACAATTTGAGCTCCAAGAAAAAACAAGGCTCGTGACGTGCAATATGTGGTAAGGTGATGTAGAAGAAACCCAGAAACCCCAAAAGTTGACAAGAAGATTTCCTTTAAGGCAGAGAGTATTCATATTTCAGGGCCATAGAAATTTTGGCAATACGAGCAAAGTTTTGATTCTTCTCCCAAGAAAAATGCACACATCTATAATTTTGCATACAATTTCAGAGAGTTCTTGGGTCTGCCCACACCCTCTTTGGATGCTTACAGTTGGGACAGAAATTAAAATAAATGAAGAAATATGCCTAAAGACACCTTAGAGATTCTTTGCAATAAATACTTCTTTGAAAGGAGTACTTGCATTAGTATTTCATGCTTGTTTGAATATTTAAAAATTTTCAAAATGCATAGATAGGCTATGGAAAATTCATGTTAAATCGCAGCAGATATGAATAAGCAGGATTTATCGATTCATTTAGAAACTAGGACCACCACCTCGACTTTGCTAATCACAGCTTGACAAGGTATCTCCAACGTGGTTGCATTCTACAGAGCAATTTATCAACCAAATAAATCTTTGTGAAAACACAACCAGCAAAAAGTCAACATTCAGACAACATTGTGATTGGTTACGTACTTTCTAAACAAGTTTCTAGATACAAAGATGAAGTAGTACCTTTGAAATATAAGAAGCTACCAGATTAGAGAAGATACAAAAAACGAAACTCACCGGTGCTAGAGTCTGGGGATGTGAAGTCAAATCATCCCCAACATGAAGTGGAATTAAGTCCCCAGAAGAATCACCGCAAACTATGTCTTGTGTGGAATGCAAGGGTTCACTACATTTTTGGAAATTAAACTCTGTCTTTCCCGTCTGTGCAACATACAGATTGTAGGAATAGGGCAAAGTTCCCTCGCTGTAGTTGGGAGGAACCACGGGTCCAGACTTGGAACAGAAACCACGCTGAAAGCAGCCCACAGTGGTGGAGCCAGAGGAGCGTCGGAGGTGTAGGGCGATGGCCAGAATCACCGCGAGGAGGAAGAGCACGGAGATCAAGGCCAAGGCCACCACCAGATAAAACTGCAGCTCCGCCTGGGAATCAGAGGGTGCGCGGCGGTCGCTGAGGTCTGGCAGCGCTTCCTGCAGGCTGTCTGCGAAGACCAGGAGGATCGTGGCGGTAGCGGAGAGAGGCGGCTGCCCTCCGTCACGCACGGCGACCAGCAGGCGCTGGCGGACCGCGTCCCTGTCGCCTAAGGCGCGAGCGGTGCGCACCTCTCCAGTGCGCAGCCCCAGGCTAAACAGTCCGGGCTCGCTGGCCTGTAGCATGTGGTAGGACAGCCAAGCATTGTGTCCTGAGTCTGCATCCACCGCCACTATCTTGGTGACCAAGTAGCCCGGCTGCGCGGCGCGAGGCACCATGTCGAACAACGCTGAGCCATCGGGTCCCAGTGCTGGGTACAGCACCCTGGGCGCGTTGTCGTTGCGGTCGTCCACCAGCACGCGCAGGCTCACATTGGCGCTGAGTGCGGGCGAGCCCTGGTCACGCGCCTGCAGTGTCAACTCGAAGGCGCGCAGCTGCTCGTGGTCGAAGGCGCGCTGCGCGAACACCACGCCGCTCTGCTCGCTCACAGACACGTAAGAGGACAGCGCCTGAGGTTCCAGGTCACTGGCCACGATGGAGTAGGACACTCGGCCATTGGTTCCCAAGTCCAGATCAGAGGCAATGACGTGTGTTATGGAGGCACCAGGCGGGTTGTTCTCAGCCACGTGGACGACGTAGGAGGTCTGGTGGAAAACTGGCGCGTTGTCGTTGACGTCGGTGATGTGCAGGGTGACGCTTGTGCTATAGGAGAGGGGTGGTTTGCCTTTGTCGGTTGCTGTAATGGTGATGTTATATTCTGGAGTCTGCTCTCGGTCCAGGGCCCCATCGGTTACCAGCTTGTAATAATTTTTAGAAGATGAATGAATCTTGAAAGGAACATCTCTCCCTATACTGCAAGTGACTTCTCCGTTTTCCCCAGAATCCCGGTCCCGTGTTTTGAAGAGGGCAACAACCATTCCAGGAAAAGAATCCTCCAAAATGTGATCAGAGAGAGATGTGATGATTATTTCCGGGCTGTTGTCGTTTTCATCGAGGATTTCTATGATTACTTTACATTGAGTGGAGAGTCCCCCTCCATCCTTGGCTTCCACTTCCATGGTGTATCTTTGTACATCCTCAAAGTCCAAAGACCGGTTATTCTTAATCATACCTGTTTTCTCATCCAATGAGAACATGTGCCTTGTGCTCTGAGTAGTGCTCCGGAAGTAGTAGTTTATCTCAGCATTGATCCCCTCGTCCTGGTCAGTGGCTGTCACTTGAATCATGGAGGTCCCTGGAGGCAGATTCTCACTAAGACAGATTTTGTATTCGTCTTTACTAAACACTGGAGGGTTATCATTAGTGTCCCTGACAAAGATTTCTATGTTCGCTGTGGCACTACGGGGAGGATCCCCTCCGTCCAAGGCAGTCAGTGTCAAGTGATGAGACCTCTGCTCTTCTCTGTCTAGGGGTTTCTCCAGAGATAACTCTGGGTATTTACCACCGTCAGAATGAACTCTAACCAATAACGAGAAATACGGATTAGAGTTTATCTTATAATCTTTAATAGAGTTTGTGTTTATATCGGGGTCCGTGGCAGGGTCAAGGGATATTCGTGCACCAGGCGATACAGATTCAACAATTTCTAAATGTATATCCTTTTTATCGAATTGAGGGGCGTGGTCATTAATATCCTCAACAACCACAACGACATGAAAAATGTTTAAAGGATTTTCAACCACGGCTTCCAACTGCAACTCACAAATCCTTCTCTCCCTGCATATCTGCTCACGGTCTATTCGGTCCTTCACAAGCAAGTCCCCGCTCTCCACGTCTACCTTGAAATGCGGCTTCTCTGCGCTAACTCTCAGCTTCCGAGCTGACACATCCAGGACACTGAGACCTAAGTCTCTGGCGAGCTTTCCCACTACCGAGCCCTGGGCCAGCTCCTCGGGAATCGCGTAGCGGATCGGCTCGCAGAGCGCGGGGCAGAACAAAGGCAGCAGGAAGGAGAACAGTACCTGCCGCCGGCCGGCCGGGCGCCTCTGCGCGCAGCTCCCTCCCATTCCGCGCTCCTGTTCTCTCTTGGCCTCCGCGTTTCTGGAAAGCTGAAGAAACTGCAATCCGCGGCATTCCTGGAAGAACATTCGGCCAGGACAAACAGAGCCCCTAGTCTCGGGGCTGGGAATCCGTGTGTGCTTTGGGGAGGGTCTGTGCGGCAGGGAGCTTCAGCTTGTGCGCTGGTTTCCTTCTCTCGGCGTTTGTGGCTGCGCAGGAAATCCCAGAATGAAGGCTGAGGGATCCCGGGCGTCCGCGCTTGCTCTGCACTGGCCGACAGCGGCGCCCAGAGGCTGAGTGTGAGACTGCAGCCTCGGTCTTCAGTTTCGAATGCAACTCATTTATTTCCAAAATGTATATATTGCTCTTTGATGATGCAGTTACGTAGTAGCCTTCGTTTTTAGTTTCCCCATGCATTACAGTAGATATTTGTATACTTGGAGTTTTAAAGGGATTGTGAACAATTTTATACTTATACAAAAGTGGAGAGTACGGTATATCAAACTGCCATATATCCATTGTCCAACTTCAACAATATTCAACACAAGGCTAATATTTGTTAAATATCTACTGCACTCTCTCATTATTTTGAAGACTTATCACTTCATTAAACATTTCTTTTTAAGATAACACATTAAGAAGAGCAGGAATTGTATCTTTAATCCTACTATGTCCTATACTCTGTTACCAATATTCAATGCATCCTATCTAGTTGAAGAAAACTAGAATTCAGCATTTTCTACACTCTGACCAACCATCCATCCAGTGAGTTGTATGCTCTGTTTTAAAGGCAAGTGACACTTTTGCAGTAGAGAATAGTAGTTACCTACCATGACAGGCATGTTTTCATCAATCTCTTATTACATTTCCCTAAATTAAAATATATTTTAATATTTATAAATACTAAGTACAAAAGTACTAAAGGTTAATCTCCTGGACAGAAAATTAAAATGACAATTTTCCTATTGTATGGCCAAAAATATGACCCTGAAAGATGTTTTATTTATTTCCTATCAGCAAAGGAAGTGTCTGAAATAATTATCTCTGTATTAGTACATATGTCATAATGGATTTCTGGACATGCTATTCTTTATTTGCTCATAAATAAAACCATATGTTCCAAAAATAATTACAAAGACAAAATAATTATCTTTCTACAGGAATTTCAGCACTCACCAAGGTATCTATGGATTACATGTTTAGAATATAATCTTGCCAACTTCAAAGATTATTTTCAAACCATCTTCTGGAGTGTCATTTATTTCTTGATGCTTGACTATTTAAGCACTATTTATGCTTAAAATAAAAATTAATAATATGTTATTATTTTATCACTAAAAGCTAGTAAAATACCCTTGAAACATCTATAGCAGCTCCTGAGAATCTTTGCCTCAAGTATCTCCTATATTCATATTTATTTCCAGCCCCAAATCATGGAGAATTGAGCCAGAAATAATAGATACTTTAAGTAGAATTTTTATTTCCCTTGTTTTGTCCATCCAGTGTCTCAGAAACTCCTCTTGAGCAAGAATAAACTATAGGAAAAATGAGTGCAAATTATCCTTCATAATCTGACATTAGGAATTTGTCAGATTCATTAAATTATCCAGGAATATAATCTGACAACCCACACAGCATTAGTAGTTTAAAACCTTTGGAAAGTATTAGACTAAGGATGTTACAATTTTCACCATTAAAATAATAAAATACAAGCACGATTGACTGCTAACCAGAAGGCTGGCAGTTCAAACCCACCAGCTACTCCTTAGAAGGAAGACTGGGCGATCTACTTCCATAGTGATACTGCTTCAGAAACCCGAGGAGGGGTCGCTATGAGTCGGGTGGACTTAAAGACACATAACAACAAGGATAACGTGCTTCACTTTGTTTTGAAATGGATGATAACTGAGTTTGAATCTTCCTCAGATTCAATAAAGGTCTTAAAATGAAAATAGCCTCTATACCTTAAAGGCGTGTTGTCCAGTTATAGAAACAGGAGGGCATTAGCTGTGAATCTGGGCTTAGTTATTGTTTCTCTAAGAAGAATGCATTTGTATTGTTATTAATTTACACTTACTAAACATATTTGCCTACAAAAAAATCATTGCTGTAGAGACAGTTTTGGGGATAAGAATTCTACAAACTGGCCGTTGGAGACAAGAAATCAATAAACTTCAGGAATGGAAATTCAGCCCTAGGAATTATTAGTGAACCACTGTAACCAGTAACTGCAACTGGACCCAGTAACCAGTCACTGTAACCTGAAAGTCGGAATCACTGCAAGCTAATGAGAGCAGCCCAAGAGGAAGTGTTCCTTGACATTAGATTAATTATCATAAGAGAATGAAAACTATCAGTGATGTGATCAATAAATGTCTCCTTTAGAGGTCAGAACAAAAATTAGGCCCTGTGAAAAGTTAAATGAAAAATTTAAATGAGAAATACATTAAAATCAAATTATCCTACCTGAAGTGCAGAAACCTAAAGAGAAAGCAACTTGTATGGAAGAAAAAGGACAAAATTGAACTTACTGGAACCAAAGGGGTATCTTCTATAGGAAACTTGGACTCATTTGAAACACACAAAGGCTCGCTTTTCTCACAGCTGTCCTGACTGATGAGCGTGTCAGCATAATTGGGCTGGGGGAAGATCAGGTGACTCTTTCGCGAGTCCGCGGTGAGGGAGACCTCGTGGGAGTAGGTCTGCAGGAAAGCCTGAACCCCGTCCATGCCCACGAAATGCGAGGCGGGTAGACTCGGCAATACGCTGCCTGAAGCCTGAAGTAGGTGCGACATGTGCCAGCGTCGCAGCCTGAGTGCCAGCAGCACGATGACAAAGGCAAGAAAGACGCAGGAGACAACAGCCACAGCCACGACGAGGTAGAGTGTTAGCCCAGAAGCCTCTGGGTTCGCGGGGACCTCGCGACTGCTCAGGTCGGCGAGGACGTCAGGGATGCTGTCTGCCACCGCCACGGTGAGCGTGACTGTGGCGGAGAGAGGGGGCTGTCCGTGGTCCTGGACGACCACCACGAGGATCTGCTTGAGCGCATCTCTGTCCTGCAGGGCCCGCACTGTGCGCACCTCGCCAGTGTGCACTCCCACGGCGAAAAGCCCTGGCTCACTGGCCTTGAGCAGGCGATAGGACAGCCAGGCATTCTGACCGGAGTCTCTGTCGACCGCCACCACCTTGGTCACCAGGTAACCAGGCTCTGCAGAGCGCGGTGCCAGCTCCACGCCGGTGGAGCCATCCGTGGGGAGGGCGGGGTACAGGATCTCAGGTGCGTTGTCGTTCTGGTCCAGCACGAACAGACTCAGTGATACATTGCTGCTGAGTGGCGGGTCCCCACTGTCACTTGCCGTAACCTGCATCTGCAGGTCTCGGAACTGCTCATAGTCGAAAGATCGAAGGGCGTACAGGACGCCTGTGTCAGAGTTGATGGAGACGTAGGAGGACAGTGGTGTCCCCTGGATAGTGTTCTCTGTTAAGGAGTAAATAATCCTGGCATTCTCCTCGCTATCTGGGTCATGAGCAGTCACCGAGAAGATGGAGGTGCCTCTGGGATTGTTCTCAGGGAGGTAGACTGAGTAGGAGGCACGAGAGAAGGCGGGCGGATTGTCATTGATGTCAGAGACACGCAAGATGATGTGAGTTTCCGTGGACAGGGGTGGGGTTCCCCTGTCCGTTGCTGTCACAGTGATGTTATACTCAGAGACTTTTTCTCGGTCAAGAATTTGAGCTGTCAACAATCGATAATAATCATCAATTGAATTTTCTAAGTTAAATGGTAGATTCTCCCGGATAGAACAAACAATTTGACCGTTCTTCCCAGAGTCTCTGTCATGAGCATTGAAAATGACCATCACTGTTCCAGGAGGAGCGTTTTCCCTCACTGGGCTAAACAGAGATGTAATAGTCACTTCTGGCCTATTGTCATTTACATCCTCCACAGAAATGAGCACTTTGGTCCGACCCTTTAATCCCCCACTATCTTCAGCTTGTATTTCCATTTCATAAAGTGTACATTCTTCATAATCCAGATCGCTTGCTGTTGATATTTCCCCAGTGTTTTCATTAAGGTGGAATAAAGGAGATTGTTTTGAATTCATTTTCCATACTTTATAAGTCACTTTTCCATAGGTTCCCTCATCTGGGTCAGTAGCTTTTACAGTTAGCAGCCGGGTGCCCTGGGGCACGTTCTCTGGGACTTTCACTCGGTAAATCGGTTGAGCAAAAACCGGGGCATTGTCGTTTGTATCCAGCACTGTCACATGGATGCGCACTGTGCCGGAGCGACGCGGGTCGCCGCCGTCAGCGGCGGTGAGGACCAGGTGGTGAGCAGCCTCTTGCTCGCGGTCCAGAGCGCGCTCCAGCACCAGCTCCGGGGTTATAGTTCCGTCGTCTGCAGTTTGCACGTCCAGGGAGAAGTGGTGATTGGGGCTGAGCTGGTAGCTCTGGAGGGAGTTCATGCCCACGTCCGGATCAATGGCTTCTGGGAGTGAATAACGTGTTCCAGGAGCAGCGATTTCATTAATTCTTATTTCAAGATTTTCAGCCTGGAATTTTGGGGTATTGTCATTGATATCAGTTACTTCTACTTCAATTCCATAAAGTTGCACTCTGTCTTCAACTAGGACTTTAAAGTTAACCAAACATGGTGCGCTCTGAGCGCAGAGCTCCTCCCGGTCTATCCTGCCCACCGTGATCAAGCTGCCGCTTTTTGGGTTCAGAGCAAAGAGCTGGGTCCTACCTCTGAAGACAATGCGGACTCCATTCTCTGCCAGCTTCCGGAGTTCCAGCCCCAAATCCTTGGAGATATTGCCCACGATATATCCTTTTTCTGTCTCTTCAGGCAGTGAGTAGCGGAGCTGACTAGCCCTGGACTCCCACAGCGTCCCCAGGAAAAAGCACAGCAGGATCCATCTTCTGCAGTGCTGGCGACCCTTTAGCGCGGCCATTGTTGCTTCTACGGAATTTTCTCAGAATTCTCTCCAAGCACGCTGACGCCTTAGGTTCTTTTTCCCTCTTGCAAGTTTGTTTGATGATCTTTTTCTTCAGGAAAAACCCTGAATGTCCCAAGTTAAGGAGCGGAGGTTTGCCGGAGCTCCGGAACAGGTCTGTGGAATCTGTGAGGCTTTGTGTAGTTGTAGCTCCGAAAATTCTGATAAAGCACCAACTGAGGTTTTTCTGAGAGTTGGTGAACAGCGGCGCTCAGAGTCCTATGCCGTAACTACACCCACTGAGATATGCAACACTTGATTATAGGTGGCTGATGAAAACACTGCTGTCTTTGAGTTACTACTTCATATTTCTCTGATTGGTTACGACATTCACATTCCAAAAGCAGTGACCATTTGTAGATATCTTAGTGGGAGATGAAGTAAGGTGAAATTCCTATGGTTGTATTATTAAATCACTGATTCATTTTTTGTTACCATCACATTAACTTACCTTTATTCTTGATAGAATTTTGCTACTCTCTCTAAATTACTCTAGGTTTTTTTGGTGATAATTCAATATTTTCTATATATCTTAACTATTTCAGAAGTAATTAAGATATACAATCCTCTGGAAAAATTCTTCTTGTTCTAAATTTTATGTTATATATTAATATGTGTATATTAAATAACTTTACTGAACAAATATATATTCAATTCATAGCGACCCCTCCTTGGGTTTCTGAGGCAGTATCCCTATGGAAGTAGATTGTCCTTCTGGTTAGCAGGAGACACTACACCACCAGAGCTACTGTTTGTATATTAATATGTGTATATTAAATAACTTTACTTAACAAATACATATAGCTGTATTATTTACTTGTGAATTATTTTTATGTTTAAATTAATTTTGATAACAATTCTGTAAAAAAATTCCTTTATGAAAATAAATTAGGTAATAATTATATATGTATATTATCACCGTTATTACCAAATTTTAACAGGAATAAGGTTTTTAAATTCTCATTTTTGTGATTACTAGACTTTCCTGCTATTTTTTAAAAATTTCTGTTTGAATACAGCACTTGCCCACAGCAGGTGGTAGATTCAAATGTGTATACAGTGAAAACTCAGTTCCTATCTCACTCCTTTTGTGATGTTATGTGTTGTTGAAGCCGACTTTCTTATTTCATGTATATATTCTGAGGGTCATTTAAACTTATGTAATAATTGTTGGAAAAGGACAAAATATAGAACAAACGATTATCAGAGAAAAGTAAGTGCCATCATAAGAAATTTCCTTTAACAGTTTGTAAAGAAGCCACGAACTGAGGCAGCTGCTATGGGGAGCCAAGCAAGAATGATACTATGTAATGGTAACTTTGCATGCACACCAAACTGGTAGTTTTTGCTTTTAAAATGAAAGAATGCAAGACTTCCTTTCCCTCCTAGAGATACAAGGATAATAATAATAATAATAATAATAATAATTTTAAAAAAAACTCCATCACTTTTATATTTAGAACTTCAAGTGAAAACAAAAAGCCATGTCCCTTTTTCCCCTTCTTCTTCAAGGATTGTATGTCAAGAATGAGAGCAAAAGATATAGAGGCAATACATTTCCTTTTCTTTTATCAAGCTTCTTCTGGTAATTCCAAAGAGAAAAAGGTGGATTTTGCATCCAGGAAAACATGAAAAAACTTAGAGATTAATCTGAATACCCAGTGTTGAAACAAAAAGTACAATAATGTGGACCATGTGATGAGTTCATTGAGGTCTCTCTCACAAAGTATATTTTATACAATTTTAGTGGAATTAAAGGATCAGGAACCAATCAGGTAGATTTAAGGAACAAAGCATACAGAATAAACACAAGGAAGAGATGTAAACTGTAACAGGGAAACCAGTGAGGAAGATACCTAGTAGTAACAGATAGTTTCTTTGCTCTACCAAAAAAAACTCATCAAACTCACTGTTGTTGAATCGACCCCGACTCATAGTGACCCCTCCTTAGGTTTCTGAGGCAGTATCTCTACAAAAGTAGATTGCCCAATCCTCCTTCTGAGGAGTGGCTGGTGGGTTTGAACTGTCAGCTTTCTGGTTATAAGTCAAGTGCCTTAGGCACTATGCCACCAGAGCGCCTTTGCTCTACAAGTTGAATTAAATTATCATCTAACCTCAAACCCTCACTGCCATGAGTTGGATCTGCTCATAGCGACCCCTCCTTGGGTTTCCAAGGTGGTATCATTACGTAAGTAGTAGATTGCCTAACCTTACCTACTTTAATGTTAAATATAATAAAATTTTAAATATGTGTTGAATAATAAATGAGCTAGGAGCTCTGGTAGCATAGTGGCTAAGACACTTGCCTGCTAACCAGACGGCTGGTGGTTCAAACCCACCAGCCACTCCTCGGAAGGAAGGTTGGGCAATCCTACTTCCGTAGTGATACTGCCTCGGAAACCCAAGGAGGGGTTGCTATGAGTCGGGGCCGACTTGACAGCACACAACAACAACAACAACAATAAATGAGCTAATCCATGAGTAAATTGCATTAGCTTTGAAAAAAGAGAAGGACGTTGTCTGTTCTTTCTGCTGTGAAGAGCACACCCTCAGTACCTTGTAGTCTGAGCTTGGCAAGACAACTCTATTTTATAATACACACACACACACAAAGAACCCATTGCCAATGAGTTGATTCCAACTTCTTGTGGCCCTATGTGTCGTAGAGGAAACTTGCTCAACTGAGCTTTCTGGGCTGTAATCTTACAGAAGGAGATCACCAGGCCCTTCTTCCATGATGCCACTGGGTAGGTTCCAACGGCCAGTCTTTAGGTTAGTAGTCAAGCGCAAACCATTTTCACTACCCATTGCTACTCCCAGTTCACGTTCCCCTTGGAGAAGGAAATGTCAGCGTTTTGACTTGCTATAACTTTCCTAGGACAACCGATTACAGATGGTAATAATGTAATAAATTTTCATGTAAATATGGAAAATTGGGTGAATGGTAAAAAGAAAGAGACACTTAGATGAAACTCACCGGCATTAGAGTCTCAGGATGAGAAGTTGACTCATTTGAACTAAGTGGATATAAGGCCCCTGGAGAATCACTGCAAACTATGTCTTGTCCTGAATTCAATTGCTCGTTATATTTCAGGAAGTTAAATTCTGTCTTTCCCATCTGCTCAACATACAGATTGTAAGAATAAGGCAAAGTCCCCTCACTGTAGTTAGGAGGAACCACGGGTCCAGATTTAGAGCAAAAGCCAGGCTGAAAGCAATTCCAGGCAGCGGTATTGGAGGAGCGACGCAGGCGCAGGGCGATGGCTAGAATCACCGCCAGGAGGAAAAGCACGGAGATCGAGGCCAAAGCCACCACCAGATAAAATTGCAGCTCCGCCTGGGCGTCAGGGGGTGCAGGAAGATCGCTGAGGTCTGGCAGCGCCTCCTGCAGGCTGTCTGCGAAGACCAGGTGTAGCGTGGCTGTGGCTGAGAGGGACGGTTGTCCTCCATCGCGCACAGCGACCAGCAGGCGCTGGCGGGCTGCGTCCCTGTCGCCCAAGGCGCGTGCTGTGCGCACCTCACCCGTGCGCAGCCCCAGGCTGAAGAGTCCGGGCTCGCTGGCCTGTAGCACGTGGTAGGATAGCCAGGCGTTGTGCCCAGAGTCTGCGTCCACCGCCACCACCTTGGTGACCAGATAGCCCGGCTGTGCGGCACGCGGTACTGTGTCGAAGAGTGCAGAGCCGTCGGGTCCCAGCGCCGGGTACAGTACTTTCGGCGCGTTGTCGTTGAGGTCGTCCACCAACACGCGCAGGCTCACATTGGCGCTGAGCGCGGGCGAGCCCTGGTCACGCGCCTGCAGCGTCAGCTCGAAGGCGCGCAGCTGCTCGTGGTCGAAGGCGCGCTGCGCGAACACCACTCCACTCTGCTCGCTCACAGACACGTAGGAGGACAGCGCCCGAGGTTCCAGGTCACTGGCCACGATAGCATAAGACACTAGGCCATTTAGTCCCAAGTCAGGGTCATAGGCGCTAACTTGAGCGATAGAGGCGCCAGGAGGGTTGTTCTCAGCCACGTGGACAGCATAAGAGGCCTGAAGGAACACCGGAGCGTTGTCATTGACATCCCCGATGTGTAAGGTGATGCTTGTGCTGGAGGATAGTGGCAGCTTGCCTCTGTCAGTGGCTGTTATGGTGACGTTGTACTCTGGGGTCTGTTCTCGGTCTAAATCCCCGTCTGTCACTAACTTGTACGTGTTCCTTGAAGAAGTGAGTATTTTAAACGGAACATCACCTTCTAACTTACAAGAAACTTCTCCATTGTCTCCAGAATCCTTGTCACGTACTTTGAGCAAAGCAATATAGGTTCCTAGCTCAGTGTCTTCCATAACTAAGTCGGTTAGAGATTGGACTATCACTTCCGGGACGTTGTCGTTTTCATCTAGGACTTCTACCTCCACTGTACATTGCGCAACCATTCCTCCACCATCCCTTGCTTCTAAAACCATGGAATAGTCTTTGACTTCTTCAAAATCTAACGTACTTAGAAGAGTAATTACCCCAGTACTTGGATCCACATCAAACTGGGTGATCTGGTCTGCTTCGCTGAAAGAGAAGGTGATCTCTGCATTGACACCTTCGTCCTGATCGGTAGCCATCACGCGAAGCACAGTAGTGCCTGGGGACAAGTTTTCCCGTAGACCCACCCGATATATATCTTGGCTGAACACCGGGGGGTTATCGTTGGCGTCAGTCACTAGGATCTGTATCTGTGCGGTGCTGGTTAGGGGTGGATCACCACCGTCCAAGGCAGTTAAGGTCAAGCGGTAGGATTTCTGTTCTTCTCGATCTAAAGGTGTCTTCAGTATCAGCTCCGGATATTTACTTCCATCTAATTTCTCTTTATTCACGAGTGTGAAATGATCGTTGGGGCTGAGCTGATAATTCTGTAGAGAGTTGGTACCTATATCTGCATCATGGGCAGATCCTAAAATAAATCGTGTGCCAGGCTTTGTGGATTCGCTTATTTGAAGTTCAAAGGCGTTTTGCATGAATTTTGGTGTGTGGTCATTGACATCCTCGATCTCCACATTCACGTGGTAAAAGTTTAACGGATTTTCAGCAACAGCCTCAAAGTCCAGAGCACAGGCCGCCTTCTTCCCGCATATCTGCTCCCGGTCTACCCTGCTGCTCACAAGTAACTCGCCACTCTCTGCGCTCACAGTGAAGTGAGGCTTCTCCGAACTGACCCGCAGTTTTCGAGTCGGTAACTCGTGCACACCGAGCCCCAGGTCCTTGGCCAGGTTCCCCACCACCGAGCCCTTGGGCATTTCCTCGGGAATCCTGTAGTGGATCTGCTCCGAGAGCGCCAGGCCGAACAATGACAGCAGAAAGGGAAAGAGCGCTCGCCGCCTCTCAGCCCAGCCCCACTCCCCAGCGCCGCTCCCCATCCCTCTGGCTCCCCTCAGTTTGCTCACCAGCCTGGAGACGGATTACCACTAACCTCTGTATGGCAGCTATCTGGAGCTCGGACCGGCTTTTAGTTCCAGTAGCGGGGGCCGGGAATTTGTCTTTTCCAGAGGAGGAAGTGGTGAAATGCTCGCGTAAGCGAGTCTGAGATGGGGCTGCCCTGGAAAGTGTGCTGCGGCTGCGCAAGGAGATCTCGCGCACCAAGCGCTCCACTTTGGCCAACAGCGGCGCCCACAGTCCTTTCTAGGAAACTGCAGCCTTCGCTGCTTCAGTTTAAC